TGTTTATTTTAATCATAAACATTTCTGAATAAAGGGTGTGTACATGGATGGATCTGTTTTAATTTTATTACAAATTATATGTACCCAAAGTAACTCAAGATAAGGAATATATTTTTCTGTATTATGTTACTGAGAGCCGATAATTTTACAAGCACACCCGCAGTTAAAAACAATGGTTTGAACTTTATCAATTATTTCCTTCATAATACATAAGAAAAAGAATTAGATAATAAATGGCTTTTTCAGTTTGGAAGCGTTAGGGCAGCAGACCCTGGGAACCAGGCTGAGTAGTTTTCTGTTTCCGAGTCATTAAAATATCCACGGAAACTGTCGATGCTTATCGAAGGGAGGCCAAACAGTGATTCGAACCCCTGTGGTTATAATACATACTATAGTCAATATTATTTTAACAGCGCGACGCGCGACAATGCGACAACGCGACATTTCATCAAAATGTCGCGCTTGTCGCATTGTTGCGTGTCGCGTTTAGTCAAACACGTTATAACACATACTATACTCAATATTTTAACAAAGGCGACACGCGATTAATGTGACAACGCGACATTCCATCAAAAGTGGAAGTGAGGGAGTGGAGAGTGGAGTGGTGGAGTGGAGCGGAGCGGAATGAGTGCGGAGGGAGGGAGAGGAATGAGTGCGTGAGTGGAGTGGGGACTGGAATGAGTGAGCGGAGGGAGCGGAGTGAGTGAATGAGTAAGTAAGTGGAGCGGGGTGTGGAGTGAGTAGGTGGAGTGGAGCGGAGCGGAATGAGTGAGTGAGAGAAGTGAATCAGTGAGCGGAGTTGAGTGGAGTGGAGAGGAGTGGAGTGGAATGAGTGAGTGAGAGAAGTGAGTCAGTGAGCGGAGTTGAGTGGAGCAGAGCGGAGTGGAGTGGGGTGGGGTGGAGTGGAATGAGTGCGTGAGTGGAGCGGGAGTGGGAATGAGTGAGCGGAGTGGAGGCAGAGTGAGTGAATGAGTGAGTGAGTGGAGCGGGGGAGTGGAGTGAGTGAGTGGATGGAGTGGAGCGGAGCGGAGTCGAGTGAGGGAGTGAGAGAAGTGAGTCAGTGAGCGGGAGTTGAGTGGGAGATCGGGAGGAGGGAGCGGAATGAGTGAGTAAGAGAAGTGAGTCAGTGAGTGGAGCGGAGCCGAGAGCGGGCGGAGTGGGAGTGAGGTGGAGTGGAATGAGTGCGTGAGTGGAGCGGGGTGTGGAATGAGTGAGCGGAGTGGAGCAGAGGAGGAATGAGTGAGTGAGTGGAGCGGGGGAGGGAGGAGTGGATGGACGGAGCGGAGCGGAATGAGTGAGTGAGAGAAGTGAGTCAGTGAGCGGAGTGGAGTGGAGTGGAGCTGAGGAGTCCGAGGAGTGGAGCTGGGAGGGGAATGAGTGAGCGGAATGAGTGGAGTGAGTGGAGGAGCGAAGTGGTGTTGAGTAGAGTAGAGATGAGTGGAGGTGGAGCGGAGCGTGAGCTAGGGGAGGTTTTGTGGCACTCCAAGGGTACGTAACTCTGCCAAACGATTTGACCGCTTTTAAAATCATAATCATAACATTCCATTTGTATGGCGTTTTCCCAAGAAGAATATCACGTTCAAAGTCGACCAAAATGTATTTGAGGTGCTGGATGGTTAAGTGATATTACCATCTCATTCTACCAGGTATCCATCCACTGCTGGCTGAACAAATTCATCAGCGTCGGACAGGATGTGCCAAGAACTCTGTGGAACATTGTGGAACATAGTAACTCCATTCGTGGACATCACTGTTGATGTTTCTGCCGATGTTGCCTGAATTTTAACAATATTTGAGTTTGTTCAATAACCTGTGAGCTTGACATAGGTGAAATGTCCAAAGTAATGAGTAGATATGATACTGGGATTTTAACCTATGATCGCCAGTTTTCTGGTGTGACTCAAGAGACACAACTCTGCACAGCAAATTGTCCCCGCCTTGCGAATGGCAGACCCACCGTGTGCCGTGATTACAAATGGAATAGTAGCGCTCATAACTTGTCTTGCTGCTAAAACACATTTGATTGGCCAAACACATTTACAATATATACAATAATTTTTCCAAAGCAACAATGGAAAGATTTCCATTAAGTTCAAGAAAAGTAGCCCCCATTATCATTACGCGTACTACTTCATCATTGTAAAACCATTGGAGGTAAATAAAGACCACTGAAGTGTGAAATAGAGTATAACATTTCGCGCATGCGTAGACTCATTGACCTTCTACGCATGCGCACCGGTAATCGAAAGGAAACGCGACACGCGACAATGCGACATATAATATGTCGCACTTGTCGCCTGTTGCGTTTTAGTGAATTTTTAGGCTTCTTTTTACACATCTTAGATAGGGCGACGCGCGACAACGCGACATATTTTGACCTTGAAAATGGGCGAAATGGGCGAAATGTCGCGTTGTCGCGATGTCGCGTGTCGCGTTTTGGTTTATTTTGCTTCACTTTACTTGTTTTTGACAACGCGACAATGCCACATAGCGACAATGTCCCTTCTAGGATTCCATAATTAACCGTCCCCAAAACACACGAGTGTGATAACCTATTTATCATACAATTTCATTTTTGCTTTATAATTTTAAAAAATGCGATTTCAAATGCCACAAATCATGAAACTAAACTTCGTGGAATGTCTATGATGTCACAAATATGTGCGGAGTAATACGTTACGTCAGAAGCCCGGTGACATAACTTTCTCCTGATCACCAGCGGTCATCTAGTTCCCAGTAAGCTTTTATGCTAAAGCACGTATTGTTGTCAACAAATCTTAGCTTACGTTTCAAAAAAATAACAACAAACTCACGTGGAACTTCAGAAACCTTCAATTAACCCTTTGAACAACCAAATACGCTTTAATGTTAGCGTGACACTGTGCACCGTTCTCTCGCTAACACTGACAGTCGGTCGGGGAACTGATGTTGGTATCTTCGTAAGCCTATGAATTTCTATCTTCGCTTTGTAATCTACTCCATCTATCAAAACCAGGAATGAATTTTCTGGGATCAAAGCACTCTACAGTCCTTGTAACCACGGCCGTCAATCCGGACAGGACCGCCGACCCTTGACGCCATGTTTGTTTACACTGTGAAAGTAGTCCCTGAAATATGCATATGCCGTGATTACAATGAATAGTAGCGCTCATAACTTGTCTTGCTGCTAAAACACATTTGATTGGCCAAACACATTTACAATATATACAATAATTTTCAAAGCAACAATGAAAGATTTCCATTAAGTTCAAGAAAAGCAGCCCCCATTATCATTACGCGTACTACTTCATTGTAAAACCATTGGAGGTAACAAAAAGACCACTGAAGTGTGAAATAGAGTATAATATTTTTTCGCGCATGCGTAGACTCATTGACTTTCTACGCATGCGCAACCGGTAATCGAAAAGGGCGAAAATGTGACACGCGACAATGCGACATATAATATGTCGCATTGTCGCCTGTTGCGTTTTAGTGAATTTTTAGGCTTCTTTTTACACATCTTAGATAGGGCGACGCGCGACAACGCGACATATTTTGACCTTGAAAATGGGCGAAATGGGCGAAATGTCGCGTTGTCGCGATGTCGCGTGTCGCGTTTTGGTTTATTTTGCTTCACTTTACTTGTTTTTGACAACGCGACAATGCCACATAGCGACAATGTCCCTTCTAGGATTCCATAATTAACCGTCCCCAAAACACACGAGTGTGATAACCTATTTATCATACAATTTCATTTTTGCTTTATAATTTTAAAAAATGCGATTTCAAATGCCACAAATCATGAAACTAAACTTCGTGGAATGTCTATGATGTCACAAATATGTGCGGAGTAATACGTTACGTCACAAGCCCGGTGACATAACTTTCTCCTGATCACTCAGCGGTCATCTAGTTCCCAGTAAGCTTTTATGCTAAAGCACGTATTGTTGTCAACAAATCTTAGCTTACGTTTCAAAAATAACAACAAACTCACGTGGAACTTCAGAAACCTTCAATTAACCCTTTGAACAACCAAATACGCTTTAATGTTAGCGTGACACTGTGCACCGTTCTCTCGCTAACACTGACAGTCGGTCGGGGAACTGATGTTGGTATCTTCGTAAGCCTATGAATTTCTATCTTCGCTTTGTAATCTACTCCATCTATCAAAACCAGGAATGAATTTTCTGGGATCAAAGCACTCACAGTCCCGTAACCACGGCCGTCAATCCGGACAGGACCGCCGACCCTTGACGCCATGTTTGTTTACACTGTGAAAGTAGTCCCTGAAATATGCATATGACCTCTCTAATTTGCATCGTTATCCGTATATGACCCCAACGGATACCGAAAATATCCGTTGGCTTTATCCAGCCGAGAACACTATCCATTGTATGATAAATCATGTTTATATTTAAAACTTTGATGACAATGTTCACAAATGAACACTAAACAAGTGGTATGACTAGACATTATGAATAGAGGTTATTCACCAACTAAACAGAACACCCATGTTGACTAACGACCTGGAAAAAAAAGAAATGGTGTTACATCTCCTATTCTTACAGTATGTCACACTTACAGATATACTGAAAAAAAGGTAAAAGGAAAATGTCGTATTGAACTGTGATAGTAACTGATGTAAATGGAAAATAGTAACTTGTCAATCAGTGTAATTACTTACCTTTAAGTTGATTGGTCTAACTTCAAGCACAA